CCCTAAAACATATTTTGAAAGTAGCAGACCCAGCAACTGCATTCTTGGTGAACCCAAGAAAGGAACCCAAAACAGGACTCATACACACACACACACACACACGTGCTGTCCACAGAGTGATTCATAACTGCCACAGGTACAGCGGTCCGCGATGTGTCCACCCAGGTGAGCAGATGTAGTATCCAGCCCACACGGGACCGTCACTGGGCACAGTGGCACAGCTCTGACACTCGTCACCACGGGGAGGGGCCTGAACGCAGGACACTCAGAGCGAGAAGCCAGACACACGAGGCCACTGGCGAGACGTGTCTGGACAGGCGCAGCCAGAGACAGAGAGGAGTTCATGGTGCCAGGGGCTGGAGGGGGAAATGGAGAGGAGGCAGAAGGGCTGAAAATCAGCAGTGTGACTGTCTAGAGGAACGTGCCAGAAGAAAACACCAAAATGGTAGAGAGGGGTTTTCTCTGTGGAACAGGTTCATGGGCCACTCGTGGGGGTACTGGGCTGCAAGGTCCGTCTCTCTGACAGACGTGGGGGACGGCCTGATTTTTCATGGTCAGATTCTGGAAGAATTGGAAGCAGCTAAGGGCCCTCCCTGGTGGCGCAAGAGTTACGTCTCAGCACTGTGAAGCTGGCCGCAGCCCCTGTTTGATCTCCAGCCAGGGAGGGACCCCCAGGGCGCAGAAGACCCTTCCTGTCTCCCCGCTGCTCCCCTCAGCAGTGGATTTCAGTCAGTCTGCCTGTTCTGCTCCCCAAGCTGTCTCTCGTGAATCCTCTCACCCCCCGCACCTCTGGCCTGCACCCCAGTTCTGTATGCACAAATAAATAAATCTTAAAAAATATATATTATCGCTGGAAAAAGCCTGTATCCTCAAGCCAACATCCACGCACTGCCCAAGCCGCAACACCCGCAAAAACCCACTCGGCCACCTGTCGTGACATCCCCGGCCTGTGGGGTCGCACTAGGCTGCGCTGTTGAGGGTCCTCCAGGGAGCCCTGGCGGTGGCAGAGATGGGCCCCCCCACCCCGCCGTGTGCAGCCTGCTCACTGGAGTCTGGGTGGTGGCAAGACCCCCTCCGGTTCCAAACACACCTGACACCCAGGTGTCAAGGGCAGAGGCCAGCGCCTCAGCTGGAGGAATCAGCCTGTGCTGCCCGTCCCGCTGGGGCCCGACAGACTGGGTGCGGGCACGCTGGAAGGGGTGGGCCTCTGCCCAGACCCGGAGGTCACAGGCAGATCTCCTTCAGAAACACCTGCACAGACCTGCCCAAGTCCTGTTTCACCGGCTGCCCGTGAGGCTGACACGTGAAGTGACCATCACGGCGACGTTTCGTGGGGGCGTCTCTCCCCGAGCATCGCGGCTGTCTGAGCTGTCCCCTTTTCGTGGCTGATGTTCCCATGTGTGGGGACGTGTGTGCCTATTCAACTAGGAGTTAGTATTTGAGCTGTTCCCACCTTTCATTTACTTTTTTTCGTGTGGCAGAAATGGGGTGCAGGCCAGAAGTACGGGGAGTGAGAGGATTCACCAGAGCGGGGAGCAGAACAGGCTGATCCACCAAAACACACTGCTGAGGGGGCAGCGGGGAGACAGGAGGGGGCTGCTGCTGCGCCCTGGGGTCGCCCCCTGACCTTAGCTGTGAAGCGCCGAGTCTCACCCCTAGGCCGCCAGGGAGGCCCTGTTCCCACCGTCTGAATCCCTTGACAAGCCCTACCGGACCCCACGGGGGAGCCCCCCGCCAGCCCCCGCCAAGAAACCCTTCTCTGGAAAGATGCCGCCAACATGACTTCCAGGCGCAGGCGCCGGTCTCGGCGGCTCTGGCCAGGGGCCTCCGCCCGCGTGGCCACTGCACGGAGACACAGGACACCCCGCTTGCTGCTTAAAGTCTTTATTGACGTGCGGCAGCCACTCAGTGGCCAGCGCGCTGGCTCAGAAGCGCTGGGCAGGGCCCTCTGCGGGGCTGCCCAGCGCCCCTGGGGCCCGTCACGGGAGTGCGGGTCAGCTCACTGCCCGCGAGCGCCCGCCCTAGCTCCTGCTGTACGCGAGGTGGCCCCCGCTTGGCCGGGCCCAGCCCTCAGCACTCCTGTGGCAACCTCCCTCCCCGCTGGGGAGGACAGCAGGGCAGGGGGTGGCGAGTTTGGGGCTGACACGGTGGCACGGAGGCTGCAGACCCCCCACGCCGGGCAGGGCTCACTCCCGCAGTGGGAGGGTGACTAATGTCCCCCCTTGGGGCCCAAATCCTAACCCTAAACCTGCCACCCCACGTGCTGAAGGACCTTGCAGACAGGATTTACTGAGGGAGAGAATCTTGGACTCCTGGACCGGGGAGTCATCAGGAGCCCCCTAGGCAGGGCCGTGAGGACGGAGAAAGGGCTGAGCCGGGGGTGGGGGCCAGGGCCCTCCAGGAGCGGCACCCGGCACAAGTCAGGTCCCCTAGAGCCTTGGGGGGCAGCTGGCCCGGGCCCGGGTCTAGCCCCAGACCATGTTGGACGCCTGAACTTCACTCAGTCCGAGACCAGTGTGCTGGAAGCCACTAAGGGTGCCGTGGCCTGTCACAGCAGCCTGAGGACGCCCGGGGGTGTGGGTGTTTCTGGAAGCGCCTGCGCTGCCTTGGCCTGGGGCGGCTGACTCTCAGTGGGGACACAGGGTGCACGCCCCAGCCCACGGCTCAGACGCCCTACCCTGCGGGGGGCTGCAGACCCCAGAACTCCCCACACCTGCGACTAGGGGCCGGTATTGCCAGCGTGTCTTGCGGGAGAGGTCCAGGCCCTCCACCCTGGGCCAGGGCCCCAGCCAGGGTCACATGGTCTTGGGGAAGGGCAGCGGTGATGGTGAGCCGGGCCCTTCACCCCTAGGGCAGACCATGGAGGGGCCAGAACCCAGGGCTGGCCAGTGGCCAGTGGCGCGCACGGCCTCTAGCCGCGTCAGCTCAGCCAGGCTGCCACCCTCTCCAGCTGGCGTGGCGGGCTGGTTGGGAACCCCGCTTGGATCTCCCCTCTGGAGAGGGGCCAGTCTGGGCAGGTGGGGCTCCTTGTCAAACATCACCGGGGAAGAGAAAGGGAGAGACCTGGTGTGAAGAAGGGGCTCAGGCCGAGGCCTGAGCCGATGTCGGGAAGGGCCCAGGCCTTGCACAGGCAGCTGCTGGCGAAGCACGGCCCTCTGCCCAGCTCAGCTCGGGAGGGTTGCCAAGCTCACGGAGCCAGTGGGGGCACTGGAGGGTTTGGCATGGGCGGTAGCCCTGGCACACAGGGTCTGAAGGAGCCAGCCTTCAGGAGCCCACCAGGGCAGCAGGGCAGCGGTGAGCCAGGCCGACGGGCCCCGGGACGCCTGCCGGCTGCTCCTGGCCCAGCCCCTGCACCAGAGAACTGGGAAGCGCGGGCCCACTGCTGGGGTGACGGGCACGGCTGGCATCAAGGCGCCGCTAGTGGGGGCAGGCCCAGGGCTGAGTGTGCAGCAGACACCTGCCCCTTTCCAGGGCCACGCGGGGACCTGCAGCCCACCCACGCGGCCTCCCTTCCATGGAGCCACCGGGCTGGCGCTCAGGGCACCTGAGCCTGGAGGCGGTGGCTCGCCCACAGCAAGACACAGGCGTGTGGGTCCTCACGGCGACAATGAGCACTGCGCCCAGATGGCTTTATTCACTCGGGGCTGCGGGGCAGGGCGCCAGACCCTGCGCCCCTCCACCGGGACCCTCCACAGCGGGCTCTCAGACGTGACTTCAGGCCAGGAGGGGCGAACCCCACCCCGAGCTTTCCCGCAGCGCCGTGGCGCGAACAGAGCGGGACTCTCCCCGGGAGGCTGCCCGGCCCCGGCCCCAGCACCAGGCCCCTGCGCGGCGGCCCCCGTGCTCTGGGAGATTTGTGCTTCGACGTGACTTGGGAAGGGAGTGGCCGCCCGCCATCAGGCAGATGTCCTCGGAGGGGGGGCGATGCCTCCACGGCTCCCTGGGGCTCCCTACCGTCCACCCTGCCCCGGGACCCCACCTGAAGCCCAGGCCGGGACTCAGCACATCCCCGCAGTCACAGCCGCTGGTTAGGAGCGTGGCTGGTGCTCGCTGGGTGCCGCTGGCCCCGTCTCCAGGCCGACGGGCACAGGGAGTGAGCAGGAGACGGCCACGGGGGGCGGGCC